CAAGCATTACTGAATAATCAGATGAGGGACAGTTTGCTATGTCTACTAGGTAGCTAAAGTCTGATCCTCAGAGCCTTTGGTTTGGACGGTCAACAACGCTTGGGCCCACAGGGGCTTGGCCTCCTGACCGGGTCTGCACGGTCTTCATCCGAATCCTCCTTATTTATTGTTTGTTTAGGAATAGATAACCTGCTTTTGCTAAAGGGATCATTTCATTTTTTTTTTTAATGGACTTTGACCTAACTTAATAACTGTATCCATCATTGGAAATATTCATACAGTCGCTCATTAACTGTGGAGGTGATGTTTAGAGTGAAAGACCATGCTATGTGACAGGGCTATCATAGGCTGGCTTAAACTCATGTACTTGTAGTTGAATGGTAAAGACTATTAAAGAACATTTGTTATAACTTGTCACTCTTGAAAATACAGAATTTATGAAAAAACTATAAAAAGGGAAGGGTAGAACTATTTATTGTACTTAGACTATATACTTCTTTAATTTTATCATGGAAAATTTCATATTTAAACATAGAGAGCAAAGAAACTGTGTTTCATCTATACTTACCTTCATCCACCTTCTCACGTTGTATCTTCTAAGTGGTGCTGGTGCTGTAAGTTAGGCATGGAGCTGTTAACAGTAGGGTTGGTGGTTCAAACCCACCACCTGAACCTCTGGAAAAAGATGAGGCTCCTGTAAAGTTTTACAACTTAAGAAACCCTATATAGAATCACTGTGAGTCAGAATCAACTCTGTAGCAGTGGGTTTGGTGTATCAATTTGTCTGCTCAATAATTTAAGCAAATTCTGGATTTTCATTTGTAAACATTTTAGGATATACATCTCAAATATAAGGAATCTTCAGAAGATGTTTTGATGACAATTATTTTCTAGGTTCTACAAGATATGACTTGTAATTACAATAAATGCCAAAATAATAATGCTGTGATTTTCACTGTAGAATCCCAGTATTTGATAACAGTTAAGGCAGTTTGATGTTTAGTTCTCCCATACTAGTTAGTGTAGCTTTGGCACTTTGGATCCTAAGTAGACATGGAAGAAAGTGACTTTTCCAAACTACTTTTTTTTTTAAAAAAAACTTCCTTTTTATAATTTACTGGAACTGGAAAAATGACCTCTGTAACAAAATGTGTACAATTTAGTAATTATACAAAACATTTCTAAACCACTTTTAAATAGTCACCAAAATCAAAGCACTCAAAATCCTGATTGCTGTTCATTTTTCTGAACTTATCCGGTAATCATCATACCTTTTCTCTTATGGGCCTTCCTTTGTTCCTTCTGCTGCTTCTCACAACCTTAAGAATGTAAACGAAGGCCCTCAAATTACCTGACCAAAGTACGACATTATAGTTAAGTGCCAAAAAGTCAGTTCCAAGTCATAGTGACCATGTATAGGATTTCTGAGGAGCAGTGGTTAGCAATCTAGTTCTTATCCTACAGTGCCACACCAGGACTCTTTTTTTTTCAAAGGTTTTTATTGTGGATTCAGTGAAAGTGTACAGGGCAT